TCAAGGGCTCCCAGGACCCACAGCACACGGCCCCTGGGCGGCCACCAGGCCACCTCCACCTCCACCTGCAGACACAGACAGGAGCGCTTTGGCCAAGTCCCCTCGAGGCACTGCCACGCCCAGAGCTCCCAGGCAGCCCACCCCGCTGCCTCCTAGAAAGACCCTGATCAGGGACGGCTCCACACCAACACCTCATCTGCCCCCCAAGGCTGACCTCAACTCAATCTTCGTGAGCAGCTGTCCAAGACAGCATCAAAATAAAATCAAATCCTGCAAATCAGACTGTGAGCCCCTGGCAACCAAGGCCCAGCTCGGCCTTAGCTGTCACCAGCCAGAACCCCTCCCAGGGTGAGTCGCACAGGCCCGGAAATTCCTCCGCAGAGCCCATGGGTCTGCGAGTCCTGTTTCCAACCTGGCGTCCCGCACACACACGGGAGGCTGAGCAAAATGGTCAGCAGGGACACTGGCGAGCCTGTCCGGCCTCCTCTCAGAGCGCGTGTGCAGAGTCAGCTCTCTGCTCCCCACCAGCACGGTGGAGCTGAGCGGGGCCCAACCAGGGCCCTCACTCATTAGATCCAAACAGTGGCAGCATAAATGGTTCACATCTGCAAGTCGCAGGCGCCACTCACGAGCACTTCAGGGGTCCTTCCAGCTCCTCTCCCCAGGGCCCATCTGGGCACCAAGCTTCTCTCTCAGTTTCCAGGGATGACAGAGGACCACAGGGCATGTCCATGGGGCCCACAGGAGTGCCACTGACACCTGCTGGCAGGTCACAGTGGATGGACACAGACACGCCGCAGCCTCAAAACTCGGGGTCAGGAGGACCAGCAGGGCCCGCCTTCAAGTCAGCACAGCCATGTTCTCAACATCAGTGCAGATGAGGCCAACACAGCACAGCAGCATGGGCAGGGGCCTCTGACCCACAGAGCTGGGGCTAGGGACACACCCAGGCCTCGGGCAGACACAATTTCCACACTCTCTTCACTAAACTCAAGCCGTGCCAGTGAGGCCCTGGCAGAGGACTATGACTCTGTACAGGGGACTGTGGAGGGTTTTAAAGCTGGGGGACCCCCAGCTTGTTCCTGATCATAGTTAACCTCTCAGGTCTCATCTCTTCTCAGAGACCCTGGAGAAAGTGAGTTCATGGTGGAAATGACCCCCCACCTGCTTCATTAACTCGTATAGTATCTAAGTTGAACCCAGTGATGGCTAAGGTGGACTCCCAACTTGACTGGTTTGGGAGCCAACCAGGCATTAGTAAAGCACACTTCTGAAGGTGTCTGGTGGGTCATGGAGGTGTGACCATGGGGTCATTATCTGGTTCCTGGCCCCTTCCTCTTTGGCACTATTCTCCTGCTCTGCTCCCTGGCCACAATGAATTAAACATCCTTGCTCCTCCACACCCTTCCACCACAGTGCTCCTGCCTTGGAGCCAGCCAACCATGAACTGAACCCCTGAAATCATAGCCAAATCAAATCTCTCCTCCTCTGACCTATGGGTGTCAGGTATTGTGCAATAGGAAAGCTGACTAATACAGAAACTGCTGTGATTCTACCTGACCATGTGGGTCAGATGCCTTTGGAAGTGGCTTGCGGGAGGAGTTTGGAAGTTTGGAGATGCTGGGTAGAGAAGCCCTGGAATGCTATAAAAAGAGATTGATGGGTGATTCTTGTGAGAGCTCAGAAGACCAGAATTTTGTTAGGAACGTGAATAATGAAGGACAACATCATGAAGTTTCAGCTGGAAATGAGGATTCTTTTGAAAGTTGGAGTATAGATCATGCATGTGACACTCAGGCAAAAACTATCTACATTTCGTCCATGCCCTGTGACTTTGAAAGAGGTTGACATTAAAGACTATGGCCTAATTGATCTGGCAAAGAAAATTTCAAGGCAGCTCAACATGCAGGCTGTGGCATAGATACACTAGTTGCTTATAGACAGATTTATGGTAAGAATCAGGGGCAAAAAGTAAAGCAGAATATTCTGCAAAACTTAAATTTGATCCAAATGGAACCATGTGTATAGTTGAGATAAAAAAGATGTGGTTGCTAAAGAGATTACTGCTATTTTGAAAAACCAAGAAGGGCTGGGGATTTAACTCAGTGGCACCGTGCCTCCCTTGCAAGTGCAAGGTCCTGAGTTCAATCCCAGGTACAAGAAAAAAAAAAAAAAGAAACCAACAACTTTAGACAGGACTAAGAAGCTGGATGCTTTGAGGTCATCCTGAAAATCAGCAAGACCCCACCCACTGCAGCCCTGAGGGTGCAAACGTTTAAACTTTTCCTTTGAGAGCAGAGTCTCGGGGCCTCTTGCTCAAGAAGGGCCTCCTAGGGAACAGGTTACCCAGGATGCATTTCACCATGTTCAGCTATTGGGTACTCAGAGGCCCCTTCAGCCATGTAGGGGGCTGGGCTACTGCTCAAGGTGGCAGCAGACCTTGGCATCATCCACGATGCTGGTTTTACCTGCATGCGGAATGCAAGAGTTGTAGGGCCAGGGAGGCTTCCACTTGTATTTCAAAGGGAGGCCTTGAAGGCCAGGCAAGGAGCCCCTGAGAGGACCGTGCATGAAGTCAGAGGAATGAAACCAAAGGCACATGGGAGACCCCAGTCAGTGCTGCCAGGAGTCTGAAGTGTCTGCTGAGGGAAGCTGCAAGCTGTGAGAGAAACCAGCCCAAGAGAGGAGGCAGCAACTGGCAAGGTCCCGGGGTAGGGCTGCATAAGCCCTCTGGACTTGCATCTCACTACCACATGACTCAGATACTAGGTACGGAATGAGAGGACTTAATGTTTGCCCTGCTGGGTTTCAGTATTGCTTTGCTTCAGTTCTTTTCTATCCCCCATTTCTCCCTTTGGAATGGGAATGTTTACCCTGTGCTACTGTACCTGGGGATCATGTAACTAACTGTTTTTTGGGTTTTTTTAATAGGGGTTTAGGGCTAAGAGTTTGCCTTGAGTCTCAGAGGAGTCTTTGACATTTTTGCAATGCTGGTACTGTTGAGATTTTGGAGAAGGAATTAAGTGTGTTTCAGTTATATGCAGAATCATTGTACCACATTAGGCAGAATTATTAACTTCTGTTGTGTCTATCTCAAGATTAAGTATGGTTTAAAGAGATGTGTTTGGGTGTCAAGTTGACAGGGGATGGGGTGTGACAGTTAAGGTGGACTCTCAACTCGATGGGCTAGGAAGTAGCCCAGAGGATTAGTACAGCACAGTTCTGGGTGTGTCTGGATGGGTCATGGAGCTGGGATCTTGGGTACTGTATCTGGTCCCTGGCCCCTTCCTCTGTGCCTCTGTTCCCCTGTTTTGCTTCCAGCTGCCATGAACTAAACATCTTTGTTCCGCTATGCCCTCTGCCATGATGCTCCTATCTTGGAACCAGCCAACCGTAGACTGAATCTCCTGAAACCATGGGCCAAAGTAAACCTCTTCTCCCTTAAGCTGTGGGTGTCAGGTGTCTCTGTGATGGGAAAGCAAAGTAATACAAACCCATATCCCAGTGAAGGACAAATGCTGTACCACTCATGGGGCCATCATCACAAACACACTTGTCCTGGAGCTGAGCTGCTTTCTCTTCTCTGGGATCTTGAATGTTTCTCCACGACCTGAGCCCTCACACACCAAGGCTCTCCTCGTCACCACCCACATTCAGTCCGAGTAGCTCTTCCTAGGACTGAGCGGAAAGTTTGCCCCCCAAAATAATAGGTTCCAGCAGTGCCAGGATCCCCCAGCACGTTCTGCAGGGAGAAGTCGGTCCAGTCCTCTCTCCTGGATTCCTCAGGACAGCCACACAAATGGCCTCCAGAGTTGCCTAGAGGAGCACGAGGCCCGGTGTGCTAACCAGCCTTCCACTGCTATGACAAACACCTGGGATGAACAGCTTGAAAGGCTCGTGGTTTCAGGGTCTCAGTGCACAGTCCCTGGATCTGCTGCTTTGGGCCCGTAGTGTCACGGTCTATGGTGCTGGGATCCACAGCAGAGAAAGCCTGCTCTTCCACACGGGCAGGAAGCAGAAAGGGGAAGAGGAAAGGGCCAAGATCCCCATGTCCCCTTCAAGGGCACAGCCCCAGCGATTTATCTTCCACTGCACCCAGCCTCCTAAAAGTTCCACCAGCTCCCCATGGGACCATAGGCTGGGACACACTGACTACGTGCACCCAACTGTTAGATGCAAACTACAGCACCCAAGTCCTGAGGACCATCCAGCAGATGCCCTGAGCACAGCACACACCCACAGTGGCCCCGTAGTCATGCAAGGGTGACCCAATCCCACCACTAGCTTCTGAAAGTCATACGCGTCAGAGCCCTTAGTGTTTCACGTGAACTTCAGTTTTCAAAATCATCGTTTCTGCACATCATTATTCACAGCGGTGCTATGAATAGGGTAGGGGGACAAAGGCAAATCAACCCAAGTGTCCACCAACATAAAACTGTATGAACAAAATGGGGTCTGCACATGAAGGAATACTCAGCCTTAAGAACGAAGGGCCTGAGACACGGCTACAACACTAAGCACTGAAGACATGACACTGAGTGACAAAAACCACACAGTTCACTTGTATGAGGGACCTACAGTAATCACATCACAGAGACGGGCAGCAGAACAGGGGGTCTGGGGCTGAGAGTTGGGGTAGTGATTGGGCTTTGTGGATGGTGGTGATGGTTGTGCAATGTAACGTGTAAAGTGAAAGTTTCGTTGTTTGTACACTTTACCATCCTTTAAAGGTGACAGTGATGAAGTCACTAACACCACGGCCCAGGAAGGTGAGACCCAGCCACACTGGTTTTCTGGCCGTGGTCATGGTGATTTGAGCTGTTTCGTGAACGCACTTCCCAAGGAAAGACGATGAAGGTACCTGGGGCAGTGACACTGTCCTCAGCAAGGGACTGAGAATGGAGACCACCACCACCCTCCCTCCCCAGCAGCAGGAAGTCACTGGCCTAAGCCTGAACTCACCGGACTCACGGAGTGGAGAGAATCAGAGGGACCCTTACCCGAGTTGCCGTGCGCCGGAAGGAGGCCGGGGATGGGCTGCAGACCTGACACCAGCAGGTTCTCGGGCAGGAGGTGGAAGGCAGGCTCCAGGGCCGGGTGGGGCCGCAGCGTGTAGTGCAGGCTGCAGTTCTCAATGAGGGTCATGTGCTTGTTTTCTGGGGGAAGAGCACCAAGGCAACGGCTGAGACCACAGGGCCTTTCCATGCAATCAGCTGAGAATCAGAAATTCAAGAAACACGGGCCGGGGATTTAGCTCAGTGGTTCCGGTGCCTGCCTTGCAAGAGCAAGGTCCCAAGTTCAATCCCTGGTACCAAAAAAGAGAAATTCAAAAAACACCACCAAGAGAAAACTCATTTTTCTAAGGAGGGTGGGGAATTGCTCTGTCATTCAACCTGAAAGTGAAAGGAATCAATCCTCAAGAATTTCTCTGAGAAACATGCAGTGAGAACTTCTGGCTGATTTTTGTTTCTAGGTATTTGTTCATTTTTTGAGACAGGTCTTGCTATTCTGCCCAGGCTGGCCCTAAATTCCCAACTCTGAGATCCTCCTGCCTTGGCCTCAGAAGTGGGCTGGGATTACAGGCACGCGCCACCACATCTGGCCCTGCAAGAATAATTTCTAAGGCAACACATCAGGTCAAAGGCTGGGCTCAGGGCTGCGCTGTTTCCCTGGCATTGCAGCCCTGCGCTCCTGGGAGGCTGGGCAGCAACCCGGCCCCCAGGCCGCCTTCCTCTGAGTCTCAGCCCGTGTCCACCCAGCCACACCGAGGACAGGAGGCCCCGGGGCGGTGATGGCACAGGAAGGAAGCATCATCCCCCAGGGCTGCTGTCCTGGACCAGCAGTGAGAAACCAGCTCTCGGATTCCCACACACAGGAGGCGGGACCCAGCCGGGCGAAAATGTGGATACGCACTTGGGGGCCGGGAGGAAGGGGTGCAGCCCCACAGCCCCCGCATGCGGCACGCATGGGAAATCCTCACTCTGACCCGAACCCTGGAGAAGGCTCCAAACACTGCAGAGAGGGAACAGGCAGCTGAGGTGAAAGAATGGGGTGCGGGGAGGGGCGGCCGCCAGAATCACAGACCCTGGGGTAAGGAGAACCCCAGGTGCCCTCTACACTCCCACCAAATCTTAATTGGGCTTGACTCCCTCTGACCCACTGACGAGGCCCTCCCTCACCACCTCCCGAGGCACAAACACTCAGCCCCTCACCAGCCTCCGTCTCCTCGCCCGCCACACACACACACACACACACACACACACACACACACACACACAGACACACGAGACTCAGGCGCCCAGAGGGACTCAGCTCCTACAGCCACCTGAGCGTCCACATGGGGGAGACAGTCAGCCATGGATGTCAACTCATGGCCACGAAGAGAGTGAGCGCTCTCTAGGCCCTGACAGTGACATTCGGCCAGACGGGTGTCCAGGGAGAGAGCCAAGGACCAGGACTGAAAAGCAGGCAAGAGAAGCCCGCCTCTGCGCCACAGGAAGAGCCTAGAGGGGTCCACGCAGCCCCCAGAGAGGCCTTGTGCGTGGCGGGCGAGGCCGGGTGGAAGGGACCTCACCCTGGACCTCTCCTACTCCATCGCGCCCTGAGAGCCGTGAACCCCGGGTGGCCGTGGCTGTTACCCACAGATTCCCACTGGCCAACAGGGCAGGGGCGGTGTCGGCCTCAGGCAGGGTCCCCACACCCGCCTGGCACGCGGACAGAGCCCAAGACCCAGGGCGGGTAGAGATCGGGCGGCCTCATACGCTGTTTAACAGGCCCTGGTTCTGAGGGTTCTTCGCAAGAGAAAATTTTGGCAAACCAAAATTACAGGCAGCTGAAAAACAACCCAAACATAAGTTTCCCACCATTCCTCTATCGCAAATATTTTTACCAAATTGGGGGTGGGGGAGTGGCCTATGGGGCACACACAATCACCAGCTCCCCAAGGACAGGGTCCCCCTCCCAGGGAGAGCCACACCCCCTGCCGGGGCATCTGCGGGACAGCGCTCCCCACGGCGGGGACAGCGTAGGCCCCCACGGAATGTGCCCCATCAGGAAGGCACAGCTGAGGCCTGGCCTGCTGGCGACAACACTGACCCCACAGTCAAAGGCTCCCCTGCACAGGGACGGCTTCACCTGGGGGGCAAAGCGGGCAACCAAGAGGCCAGGAGCCCACCTCCCCGGCCCAGCGGCTCCCTCACAAATCAGCATCCTCTCTGGGGACGGTGACTTTCAGCTCTGCAAATTATGCAGAAACCCAAGCCCATGACACATCTGTCCAAAACGTTCCCATGACAGAGCAGAGCGGGCTGTGGTTGGCGCTGAGACGACGGCAGGAACCAGGGACACTCAAGGGGCACCGCTGAGGCCAGCGTGGCCGCTTACGTTCTATGGGGTCCTGGAGGAGCGGGTGCAGGAGGGCTCTGGGGGTGCCATGATACAGCTTCAACCTGCAAGACAGGGCCAGGGAACCACATCAACCAGCCGGACCTCCCACTGTCAGCAAAGGCCCCGGCCGGCTACACCATCACCCCCACACCGCGGAGCGCGGCTAGTCACGGCCCTGCAGCCGACAGAGGGGCTGAGGGTGGTGCCAGCTGCCTGCCTGGGCTCCCCGCCACACCAAGCACAGCCAGCACGGCCCAGGGAACCCCACTCTCAAGTGTCCCCAGACACCATCCTCTGAGTAATTGCCGTGGCCGCACGGAGAGAGCAAGTGTCTCACCAGGGTGGCTCTGCCCCAGGGCACACCCCACCTGGGCGGGTATAAGACAGCCCCCGGGAAGAGCCCCAGCCCTGCACAGGAGCAGTAAGAGGGTGAGAAACCCAACCTAGAGGAGCAGCGGGAACTGTCACCGGCTGAAAGGCTTGCACCCCACGTCACCTGTACCTGCCCACCCAGCTCAGCTCCTAGGCACAGCCTGGCAGGTGCTCACCCACAGCTGCCTCATGGACCCTGCTGCCACGCGGCGCCCGTGTGTGAAGCCACACAACATTACTCTCACGCAGCCTGATGCAATCCACACTGCTACCTCAAGCTCACACAGGAGGGGTCAGGGTCAGAGCTAATAACTGCCTGAAGCCCTGCAGCAACAGCGATAGCATGGGACTCGGGCCACGCACACCCTGCATCCGACCCAACACTTACACAGAGCCAGGCCTCCTCCCCTAAAGGACGACTCCTCGGCTTACTTAGAAGTGGCCAAATAAGGAAACCAGAACCTACTGTCGGTCCTGGGACGGAGAGGGCGGAGAGTCTGGCCTGCTGCTGAAGATCCGGAGAATTCCAAACCCGCAGGACAAGGCCTGGGGGCTCCCGTCCTGCTTCTTGCCTTCAGCGACTACTTCGACCACAGCCACAATGTTCGGGTGGTTTAAGGACGTGTGAAAGTAGAAGGGCTACAAAACAGGAACCAGAGTCCAGCTCACGGGAAGCGGCAGTGGCCCGGACTCACCCTCTCGCCCGCCACCCTCCTGTGCGCTACCGAGGGTGCCCAGCTCCACCACGCGCCCTCAAAGGACACAGGAGATGGCGGAGCCTCTTGCTCCAGGGGCCTACAACATCCGGCCGGGACACAGGATGATCCAGCTCCACTCCAGGACACTGCCACCTGGGAACGCCACCTCCACATCCGCCCTTGGGACAAGAACGGCCGGACTGGCTATGCACCTGCCCTGGGGCTGGGGACACCGCAGGACCACAGTGAGATCAGCCTAGGCCACGGCTCAGCCTGAAAATCCCACAACTACTGCCCATCCTTGGCCTCAGTCAGCGCTGGCTCACAACTCACCAGCACGGCCCGATCCCGCTTTGCGCAGAGTTTAGTGAGGACAATCTGAACTGACTGTGTCTCCACTAAGGCTCCTTACATTTCTGTAGGTGCTAAGTAATGAGCACAACCAGTGTCTTTTATGATGAAAATCACCTTGATGCCTTTTTATTAATAAAATGGGGGAAGCCAGGCATGGTGGTTATCCGGGCATGCCTGTTATCCCAGCACTCCGGAGGCTGAGGCAGGAGGATTGCAGCAAGTTCAAGGCCAGCCTGGGCTACATAGTGAGTTCAGGGTCAGCCTGAACTACAAAGGGAGACCTTGCCTCAATAA